ATTCATATTATCCGTTTTATCCGCAATTTATTCTGTCGCTAGAATTTATTTTTAACTATTCAAGTACTCGGGTGCTACCTAAGCACCAGTTTGATCGTTTTTTTTCGTTGGCTTTGAAGTTGTGTTCCTCCATGTGCCTGACACATGCAATAAATAAATAAATAATCCTGGTCTTACTTACCATTGCCCCGGTGCGAATGTCCTCCCCCTCACCCATGAACATGACCGCCCTTTATAGTAATCCCTTGCTTCAAGACGCTCCCCAAAACCAAAGGAAGGGTTGACTTTTACACTTGAATTGGACCCAGAACAGAGAGCACAGAAACCACACCGAGCTTTCAGGGGGGAGGTAATCAGTTCCTCGCTTGAAAAAGAAATAATTCAGTCGAAAGAAGTAAAGCGATCGCGAAGGATTGAAAAATTTTCACAAGCCGCGGGGGGTGTTAGCATTCGGTCACTTGTTTACCGGTTTCAATTAAAAATAATTTCGTTGCTTTCATGGGAGAAGTTCACTTAACGAGTGAATTGCTGCTGACAGGTCGTCTTTTCCAGTAGAATATCCGAAGTTTCCAGGTATGATTACCGCTTTATTTCAGGTGATCTTCACGCGGTGGTCGATAACTATATGTACGGTATGAGCAATGGGCGGAGCCCAATCGAACCTCAAACCTGGTGATGCTAAATTTGGAAAGCGTTCAGAAAAGCAACTCACAACAGCCCGGGAAGTCCGCACATGCGAAAAGTCTTCATCAGTTCCGACTGAGACAACAGTACAGGCAAAGACTGCGAAGGAATGTGCGCGCCCCTCGACGAAGCCTCCAACAGAAGCGGAGGTCGCCCAGACAAAAACCGCTATGGAGCCTGTACGTCCACGTACACAGTCTTCTTCCGCAGCAGAGATCGCCCAGACGAAAACCGCAAAGGAATTCGTATTCCCTAGCGCAAAGCCTACGCCCGCAGCGGAGATCGCCCAGACGAAAACCGCCAAGGAATTCGTATTCCCTAGCGCAAAGCCTTCGCCCGCGGCGGAACTCGCCCAGACGAAAACCGCCAGAGAGTTTGTTTTCTCCTCGGCCGAAAGGAACCCCGTCGGAGCCTGCAGCGGCCAAAAAATCCTCCACAAATATCGTCGCAAAGGCTAAAAGGTCTTCCACAAGACTCGTCAATGAGCTCAGGCTCACCGCCTCCAGAATGGGAACACTCAAAAAAGATCAAGAGAAAAAATCATGCAAAGAACAGGAAGAAAAAACTGCGATGGAGCCGTCGTCAGAAACCGCGAAGAAACTCGAGAGTAAGCCATCGTCAACAGATGCGACGGCCACGGCAAGGGAGACCTCAGCTAAACCGGCCAAGGAGCCCAAACCCCCTGAGCAAGAGCCACAAGCTTTACCTGAACCCAAGAAGGAAGGAGTGACTAAAGAATCTAAACCACAAACGTTACTAGAACCTAAGAAGGAAGCCCTAGCTCAAAAGCCACCTTTCAAACCACCAGCGGATGCCAAAATCAATGAGTTGAAGGTTTCCACCGGAACACAAGCAACCACACCAGCTGCTTCGCCTGCAAGAGTCGCCGTTACCCAAACGGCAGATGCTAAGAAAGGGACTGCGGCTCAGAAGCTGCCGGCCACCCGGAGGGTGCAACGGCTGCACTGCCAAAAACTCCTAGCCAAACCCAAGTGACCACAGCTCCTCCAAAGGTTTCCGCTCTACAAGCGTCTACAGCTCCACCAGCAGATACCAAGAAAGAAACTGCGGTTCAGAAACCACCGACCACTCCGATAGCTCAAACGGCTGCACTGCCAAAAACTCCCAGCCAAACCCAAGTGGCCACAACTCCCCTGAAGGTTTCTGCTGGAGAACGGTCTAAAGCTCCAGCGGCAGATACCGAGAAAGAAACTGCGGCTCAGAAACTTACGGCCACCCCGGTGGGTGCCACGTCTGCTCTGCAAAAGACTCCTAGCCAAACTCAGGTGACCACAGCTCCCCCAAAGGTTTCCGCTGGGCAGCCGTCTACAGCTCCGGCAAATACTAAGCAAGAGGTCGCAGATAAGAAACCGTCAGCAGTGAAAGTTGCTGAACCACCAAAACCGCTCAAAGAAGCCCAAGCAGCTCCAACAACTGGATCGCCACAGAAAGCTGTCGCTGCTCAAGCGTCATCCTCGAACACTGCGATCCAAGCTCACGAATCTTCTTCGAATGTAACGGCCGCGGATGGGGAGAAGGTGTGTCGCCACTTATTTATCACCAAAGTAATCTAGTGAGATAGCTAACTTGCAACCAGTAGTTCAAACCCTCGAAGTGCAACTATGGGATGCTCTCTATGGCCAGTTTCTTTTTCTTGGTGGGATTGTTTCTTTTTTTTAGCCTCACTCTTCCAAGGAGGTTATCTAGTAATTGCCAACATACTCTTGAACCAATAGCAGCTACTGTGGGCTAATGATTTGGAATGTGCCATCGTGTTCTTCCTCGGGTTTCGGAACGGTATTCCGATTTCGATTCTGGCTCATTCTCAGGTAGACTTGCAGGAGTAACCTTCGAGTTACGGGGTGCAGCAGTGTCGGCAGCATATGCTGCCGACACGCCCACTCGTCCGTGATTGGCTACCACCACACGGGTTACTGTGTGCAGACGCGAGCCAGCCAGTCATAGACTAGTGGGCGTGCCGGCAGCATATGCTGCGGCCCGTAACTCGGAGGTTTCTCCTGCAAGTCTATCTGAGTTAGTGCCCAGATGGGGGTGCAGTGATAGGGCTGCACCCTGGGAAGACTTGGGGAGAGGGTGCGTGAGCAACTTCCGTTTCTCCGAATCTTCATTCCCTCCTCGAAGGCTTGCATAGCAAGCTTCTCAACTACACCTGCGCCGGATGCTCTCCAACAGCCTCTTGGATGCCTTGAAGGTGGAGTGCATTCGGATCATGCCAGCCCCTGAATGGAGGTGTACAGTCAAGGTGAAAGTCGCGCTATTCTGGTCATGCCGCGTGCGGAACAGGGTATTGGGAGTCCGCCCCTTGGGAGTGGGGGAGCCTTTTGTAACCCAAATTAGCACATGCCTGGATCGGGGCAGAGGAGTGTGAAGGTAATGTCTTTGTTTACCAAACATCACGACGAAAGTTACGCGACATCGCACAATGACTTCCTAGTGTACAGCCCCACACTCTGGTCACCTACCCCGTAATCATGATGGTTCAGCAACGTCTATTGCTTACATATGGGAAAGGTCTGCATCTGTTCTGATACAGTAGGAGCGGATAGAACTGTCTCCTGGCGCTCATGTCTTTGAGGGAAGGTGGTGGGAAGGGGGATTCAAAAAGGGCGTTTGAAAAGCACTGATAGGTAACACTAGGACTAAGCACAGGAGAGAAGAGGAACGCCAGGGAGACAAAAATTCTGACATCTTCTCTCAGAATCTCTTTCCCACTCTGAAGTTTAGTGCCAAGTACTGTGAGTGGACACCCACCTGAATGTCTCCGCCCCCCCCCTCCCCCCTCCAGATTCGTTCCCCAGCAACATGAGCTCCGTCAACTTCTCTGAACAGAAACAATTACAGTGGCCCATTGAACGCGAGAGGAACATCAAGCGGAAAACTGGGTTTGTCATTCTCTTTTCTACGTTTGAGCTTTCAGTACATGATCGGCCGATCCCTTGTCACACTTTTGTTTAAATGGATATAGATTTTTCGCACTACAAATCGATTTCTCCACGACAATGTGATAAGAGGTCGACTCAGAGATGGCATGCAGCCCATTTTCACTTCCATCATTCACAGTTGCGGTTGTAGTATTGAGCTATTTCTCAGGTACGAGTACATTTTGGCAACGATTGAAATTCAAAAAGGGAAGAAATTCGGACTCATGATGGTGCACATGGAAAATCGCGTGATTGTCAACAAGGTGGAAGACGGTAGGTAATATAGCCTGTCTGGGCGGTGCAGCATCTTCTATAGCGGTCGTTTACGTTGATGGATCCCACAAGGGCAACCATTAGGCCGGCCTGAGGTCCGCCCCATCGTCCCAATTACGACTCAAGGCAGTGAGCATGGTGGCTAGCTTAGAAGGCGGAATTGTGGACGTCTTTGGGCAACGTTGTGGTGAAAAGGATATTGGTCACAGCCACATATCACAATGCGCTATGAGATCCGGTCTACCAATGGCCCAGTGGCATAATCGAGACCACTTCACCCTCCAGCCATCATGCTGGACTGTTAGAAGCTAAGGCCGCGTTCAAAAGTTCGCGACTCCGGAGATTAGGATAGTACGCGACAATGAAAAACATATGTATTGACGGGGAGATTAGGATAGTAGTAGATTAGGATAGCAGTAGAGTAGGAGTGCGCTGACAAGATTAGATACGTATCGATTGGTTGAAATCGCCGGTAACGCGCTCATAGCTCAGTAGCCATGCGTGTAAGGTGTTTTTCGCGGTAAACGAGTATGATATTCGTGTTCAGGAAGGACCGAATTTTCCCTGGTTACAAGTTTCCAGCTGAATCTGAGATTTTGACCTACACTCGAGAAAGGGCAGTCAACATACAGTCAAACGAGAGAAGGTATGAATCGAAAACTAACTGGAAAAGCACCTTCCCTGAATTTTGATGCAGAGTCATGTAAATCATTTCCGTTATGCGGAAATGTGAGCCGTTGAACGTTTCTCTTTTCAAAATCTTGGTTGGAAGGGCAATTTCCATGCCAAGAGTTCAACGATAGGTTGATGATATGATGGTTGACTCACCTCATTTTTTAGGGTTGGGTCAAAATCTCAGATTCGGTAGGAAACTTATCTCCAAGGGTAGTTTGATCTCCTGAACACGAATATCACGCCTGTTTGCCGCGAAAAAGCCTGACACGTGCATTACGGGCACCATGTTCATACATGGACGACTACTGCCCAAACCTGCAAAGAACTGCTCGAAATTTTTTTCGTACAGGGAA